GAAACTGATCAGGACAAAGCTTTCTGTCTAATATGATGAAGCACTTTGTATGATGTATCACTTATATGTAGATATGGTGATAGCATAAAAGGACTCATTAGCTGAAGGGGCTTTCAACTCAGGTCCTCCACTTCTTAAGGACCTTTGGCAAGGCTGTTCTGACAAGGAGAAATCTAAGATTCTTGAGGACTCCTGAGTTTGAGGACCTAATTGTTTTCCTTTGACTCTTTCCTCTTCTCCTATGGCACATTGTTAGTGTAGCACTACCATAGCTTTTGAAAATTAATGATGGAACTATATTATGCAGCATCAATCTCTTGCTTGACCATAGGCTCCTCCAGGGCAGGGGACCTGACTTATTCATCTTTGTATCCTCTGCAAGCACCAGGCACACATCTCAGTCAACGTCTGTGGAATTGAATCTGGTTGAATTTAGATCCCAGGTCGCAGTGCCAGAGCTCACAGTAGGACTGGAGCTGAAGGCAAGTGAGGAATCATTTATTTCCCACTGCTGAGCTGACTGCTGGCTTCTGAGATATTCAAGTCACCCCGTCACGGTGAAGGCCACCCAGAGAGGGCCTTAAGGTGATTCTATCGGTGCCCTTAGTGAAATTTCTTTCTCCTAGTTCTTAGAGGTAAGGAAAATGAAGCAACCAGTCCTGCATCTTGTTGGTTTACAAGCCAGGGCTAGGAGAAAGTAAAGTGGAAATGTGATCTCTTTTCATCCTCTGCTTAGCTGATGTGGAAAGACAGGCAATAGTGGGCCAGCAGCCCTCTCTAATTCAGTTTTGTCTAGTATCTGGCACAGTGCTGGGCATATTCTTGGTCCTAATTAAATACAGGGGCATAATTTGTCATTTTCCTCCCTTTCAAAAGGTACATGTCTTTGACTTAACTTTTTGATTTACAAACAGAAATAAAGACAGAAAATAGTCTTTTGAAAACTCTCCATGTGTCTAAGCCAAGCAGTCTGCTGAAGCTTTAAATATATTTGTTCTCATTCTGCTCATAGGGAGACAAGACAGATATGACTGTCTCCATTTCCAGTTGAGAACACTGACGCCCAGGGAGCTTATGTGGAGAATCCGGGATCGGAGATCAGCTCGGTTTGGATGCACTCACTGTACCATGAAGTTTTCCCCTTTCTCCTCCAGCACGCTGGGGTGTGCGTGCATGTGTGTGACTGTGTGTGTGTGTTTCCTTTTACCCTTAAAGCCCAGCTACTTCTCCTTCTGGTCAGTTTCCTGGATTCCACTTTTTGGAAACGAAGTCCAGTTCTCGTCCAAGGTCTCACTGCCCTCTCGGCCATCTTCCCCTGGCGTTTCCAGGACCGCCAGCCACTTCTTGGCTAAATTCAGAGTACCAGGCTTAGGCTCCGATTCCCGGCTCCATTCCCACCCTCCCAGGGCAGGTGCCTCGTTCCGGTCCCCAGGACCCCGACCCTGCAGCCGGCGCCTCGGCCCCGCCTCCCCTACCTGACGCAGGTGCGCCTGGGGCGCCGTAGCCTCCGCCCACCGGCGTGCCTGCTCTGCCATTGGTTCTCCCGGCTGCCCGTCTCTTTCGCTGGCCCCGCTCGGCCCCGGAGGGGTAGGTTTTGCTGGAGAAGCCGCAGTCCCGGCGGCTCGGGCGCTGCGCAGAGTGCGGACCCGCGCTGGCATGTCCCCGCGCGCGGGAGCCCCAGTCGGCCGCCGGGTGCGGGCGGCTGCTAACTTGGCTGCAGGCTCCGGCGGCCCGGCCGCGGCCATGTAGTTGCCGGCGGAGCTCTCTGCAGCCCGGGAGCGGCAGCGAGAGCGAGCAGGAGCCCAGCAGTTCGAGGCTTTCCCCGGAGGCGCTGAGTGCGTGCCGCGCCCTCGCCGGCCCTCGGGCCGCACTTTGGGCCCGAGAGGGAAATGGGGGAGAAAGTTTCGGAGGTGCTGGAGCCAGTGCTCCGCGGCTGCAGCGGCCACAGTGCCCGGACTCCCGCCCCTGCGGCGGCTGCCGCGTCCTTCCCCTCCATCGGCAGGCGGACTCTCAACCACTGCCCCACGAGGGAAGCCCCTAAAATATATCTCTTATTTGAGGTTGAGGTTTAAAAAGTTCAGGAAATACTGATCTATTACTTGACTTTGATCTGTAGGGGTTAAGAGCATGAATGCTGGGGCCAAATTGCTCAACCATCACTTGCTAGCTGTGTGACTTTAGGAAAATTACCTGACTTCTCTGTGCCATTTCACACATTTCGCATATGTAATATGAGAATAATAATGGTGGCTACCTTATAGGGTTGATATGGCATTAAGAAAATTAGTATTTGTCAAGTGTTTAAAACCTTGCCTGGCATACACTAAGTGCCTTATAAATGTTTGTGGGGAAAAATATCAGTTCTGCAAGTATCCTTTTATATCCTTTTACATATTAAATCAAAACAACAAAGTCCCTTCCCTATGGATATTTGTAGTCTAATATGTATATGTACTTGAAAAAGTTGTCTGTTCTGAGTGGCAATATATTGGAATGTTTAAGAAAGTGCCTCAGACCAGACTGCTGTGTTCAAGTCACAGTTCTAGCACTCACTTGCTGTGTGACCTTTGGCAAGTTATTTGACCTTGCAGATCCTCAGTTTCTTAATCTATAAAGTGGGGCTAATAGACTCTATCTCATAAGGCTGTTGCCAGGATTAAATGAAAATACCCATAGATGCTTATGGAGGAAGCAATAATAGCTATTATCATTCTTCCTGTTAGCAATTCAGATCATGTCTTGCTTCTTTTCTGAGGTTCTGAAAAGTATCACTCCTCTTTCATGTGAATGGCTTGCTTAAGTCATCATTTTACTTCAGCTGTGGTGAATCAACCACATAGGGGCTCAGATAAAGACCAATACTCCTGACTAGAAAAGCAATTGTGCAGCCCAAGATCGGATTCAGACTGCTCCACTGTGCTCTCTCTATAGCCTTGCTCTCATAACTAGTCAGTTTACTAGAACTGTTCTTTTGCCTCAGCAGGTCTTCACAGCCCCTCAGATAATTCTGAAGTGTCACAATGGAAGCCTGACAGCCAGAGCTGTTTTGCAGTATGGCTGTCTATGGCAATCGGGTTACATTATATTTCCTTCCCCCTCATCTTGGGGAGGGAAACTGATCAGGACAAAGCTTTCTGTCTAATATGATGAAGCACTTTGTATGATGTATCACTTATATGTAGATATGGTGATAGCATAAAAGGACTCATTAGCTGAAGGGGCTTTCAACTCAGGTCCTCCACTTCTTAAGGACCTTTGGCAAGGCTGTTCTGACAAGGAGAAATCTAAGATTCTTGAGGACTCCTGAGTTTGAGGACCTAATTGTTTTCCTTTGACTCTTTCCTCTTCTCCTATGGCACATTGTTAGTGTAGCACTACCATAGCTTTTGAAAATTAATGATGGAACTATATTATGCAGCATCAATCTCTTGCTTGACCATAGGCTCCTCCAGGGCAGGGGACCTGACTTATTCATCTTTGTATCCTCTGCAAGCACCAGGCACACATCTCAGTCAACGTCTGTGGAATTGAATCTGGTTGAATTTAGATCCCAGGTCGCAGTGCCAGAGCTCACAGTAGGACTGGAGCTGAAGGCAAGTGAGGAATCATTTATTTCCCACTGCTGAGCTGACTGCTGGCTTCTGAGATATTCAAGTCACCCCGTCACGGTGAAGGCCACCCAGAGAGGGCCTTAAGGTGATTCTATCGGTGCCCTTAGTGAAATTTCTTTCTCCTAGTTCTTAGAGGTAAGGAAAATGAAGCAACCAGTCCTGCATCTTGTTGGTTTACAAGCCAGGGCTAGGAGAAAGTAAAGTGGAAATGTGATCTCTTTTCATCCTCTGCTTAGCTGATGTGGAAAGACAGGCAATAGTGGGCCAGCAGCCCTCTCTAATTCAGTTTTGTCTAGTATCTGGCACAGTGCTGGGCATATTCTTGGTCCTAATTAAATACAGGGGCATAATTTGTCATTTTCCTCCCTTTCAAAAGGTACATGTCTTTGACTTAACTTTTTGATTTACAAACAGAAATAAAGACAGAAAATAGTCTTTTGAAAACTCTCCATGTGTCTAAGCCAAGCAGTCTGCTGAAGCTTTAAATATATTTGTTCTCATTCTGCTCATAGGGAGACAAGACAGATATGACTGTCTCCATTTCCAGTTGAGAACACTGACGCCCAGGGAGCTTATGTGGAGAATCCGGGATCGGAGATCAGCTCGGTTTGGATGCACTCACTGTACCATGAAGTTTTCCCCTTTCTCCTCCAGCACGCTGGGGTGTGCGTGCATGTGTGTGACTGTGTGTGTGTGTTTCCTTTTACCCTTAAAGCCCAGCTACTTCTCCTTCTGGTCAGTTTCCTGGATTCCACTTTTTGGAAACGAAGTCCAGTTCTCGTCCAAGGTCTCACTGCCCTCTCGGCCATCTTCCCCTGGCGTTTCCAGGACCGCCAGCCACTTCTTGGCTAAATTCAGAGTACCAGGCTTAGGCTCCGATTCCCGGCTCCATTCCCACCCTCCCAGGGCAGGTGCCTCGTTCCGGTCCCCAGGACCCCGACCCTGCAGCCGGCGCCTCGGCCCCGCCTCCCCTACCTGACGCAGGTGCGCCTGGGGCGCCGTAGCCTCCGCCCACCGGCGTGCCTGCTCTGCCATTGGTTCTCCCGGCTGCCCGTCTCTTTCGCTGGCCCCGCTCGGCCCCGGAGGGGTAGGTTTTGCTGGAGAAGCCGCAGTCCCGGCGGCTCGGGCGCTGCGCAGAGTGCGGACCCGCGCTGGCATGTCCCCGCGCGCGGGAGCCCCAGTCGGCCGCCGGGTGCGGGCGGCTGCTAACTTGGCTGCAGGCTCCGGCGGCCCGGCCGCGGCCATGTAGTTGCCGGCGGAGCTCTCTGCAGCCCGGGAGCGGCAGCGAGAGCGAGCAGGAGCCCAGCAGTTCGAGGCTTTCCCCGGAGGCGCTGAGTGCGTGCCGCGCCCTCGCCGGCCCTCGGGCCGCACTTTGGGCCCGAGAGGGAAATGGGGGAGAAAGTTTCGGAGGTGCTGGAGCCAGTGCTCCGCGGCTGCAGCGGCCACAGTGCCCGGACTCCCGCCCCTGCGGCGGCTGCCGCGTCCTCGCCGGGAGCTTCCTCTGCCGAGTCCTCATCGGGCTCAGAAACTCTGTCGGAGGAAGGGGAGCCCAGCTTCTCTCGCGAGCACCCGCCGCCGCCGCCGCCGCCGCCGGGCGGCGCTCGGCCTCCCGCCGCGTGGGCTCCAGCGCACTTGGTGCCCGAGCGTGGAGTCCCCGCGCCGCCGCCGCAGCCGCCGCTGCCCGGAGGAGCCGCGACCCCCGCGCCCCGGGGCAGCAGCGCGTCCCAGGAAGAGCAGGATGAGGAGGTGGGCCAGGCTGCCAGGCGACCCCAGCTCTCCATCCCGCACGCGGGTGGTGGGCAGCGCGTGCTGGGGCCTGGAGAGGGGGAGGGACCCCAGATGCTGTGCCCCGAGCCCTGGGTAATGACAGGAGCTTCCCTGTGGGTCACCGGTTTCCCCATGGCTGTTACCTGTGTGTGTGTGTGCGCGCGCGCGTGTGCGTGCGTGTACATGTGCTGCCTGATAGTGTGCTTCTCCAGTGTCAAAGCAGCAAACTCCGTCGGTCAGGATCTGCTCCTTTGGGTCTGTGAATGGACGTGAGCTGGACGCCTGGCTTGTCCCCACAACTGAGACCTCGTTCTCCGAAGTGGGCGTTGCTTCCAACCGTAGCGCTGAGGAAGAGGGGGGAGTGTGGTGAAGGGACGGGCGTGAGAGGAGAGTGGGTGTGTGGGAGTTGTGGGACGGCTGGCAGCGGTACCCGCGAAGTTGCGCGGCGGAGTTTCGGTTGCATTGGCCGCGGGGTCCCCCGCGGGTGGTTTTGGCTGGTCCTCCGGCCCTCGGCCGGCGGCGCTGACTTGCGCTTCTGTACTCCGATTTGGTCTTCTTCCGTGGTGTCCAGATGCGTGCTGGTCGCCAGACTGAATGGGGAACGTGCCCCCTTCTTCGGGGGACTGCGTCCATCCTGGTTTCTTGGAAGAATATTCGTGCAAAACTTGTGGGTCGCGTCCTGACACATTGAAACTATGACTTGGTGTCCTCTCGCCTGTTTTCTCTGGCTTTTTTCTGCTTTTGGAGGACAGTTAAGGAAGCATAAGGTTCTTGGTGTCTTTGATTGGTTGCTTTGGACATTTCTTGAGGGGAAGTCATCTTGATCAGGGAAAGGCCATAAATAAAACATCACCCTAACAGAGCCTCCTTGTGAAGTTAATTCCTCAGTGCCAGTGTGGTATTTTCTTCCTCTCTGATGGGGTTAGTTTTAGTAAGTAATTGTCTCTGTCCATCAGAAGATGCAAGCTGAGGCCAGTGCTCTGACAGTAGCCCCCTGGGACCCCAGCCTGGAGGCATAGACTGGATCTCGCGGAAAGTGAGGGGAGTCAAGGTCTAGCCTGGCAGAGATGGAGCAAACCCTAGTGGTGGGCCAAACCTCTGGCAGTAACCAGAACCCATTCCCCAGTGCCCAGAGGAACGCGAGGATCCTGGACAGGTGCCTGGAGATTTGCTTTCTAGAACTGTCTCTGCTTCTGAATTGTGAGATCTTGGATGAGCTGATTCCTCTGAGGTCAGTTTAATAATCTGTAAAATGAGGGGTATGACCAGTGAACTTCAAGGTAGAGTTTATTTCCACACGAACACTCCTCTGATCAGGAATTTAGGATGGATCCAAAGTGCAGGTTGATCCTAGGGACAGGGTGCCAGGAGTTAAGCTGAGCATCACACCCACCACAGAGTTACCTGACCAAACCCCCAGACTAAACCAGTGTTCTCAGTGGTTGCATCTCCCTCTGAAAGATGCCAGGCATGTGCTGGTGTACTTACCGAGATGAGCACACTGGTCACTGGGCAGTAGGGGGTATGACCCAACGTAATGATTTACCACTAGATTCTAATACAGTGTTGCCATCGGTAGAGAAGATGGTAGAGTTAGTTGCCCTATGTTTTCTGCGTAGCTAGGAGGGTACTGCATGATACATAACATGGTCTTGCAGATCCCAGGTGGGGGAAGTCAGGAACTTCTCACTTTTGATCCCAATCCTGTAGCTGATTTATTGCCTGGCCTCAGGGTGACAGTGTTTTATTTTCTTGGAAGTGGATGTAGAGATAGCTTATTTCACAGGCACTGCAGTGAGGAATGGTTGATTGAAACACATATTGGAAAGTGGGATGACTAAATAACATTGGTCAGTATTTGTGAAATCTCAGAATTGGATGTAAAGTGATACAGTATTGCAATTTATTGTGTAACTTAACCTGTGGCAGGGGATGCTGGAAATTGTCCAGGAGTGGAAGTCTTGACTTGCTCTGAGAATTTTAAAGAGAAACTAAAACTGTGGAGTAGAGAAGTTATAGTCTTGGTGAGAGGGGTTGAAGCCCAGTGCACATTTTCTGGCTCTTACACTGGTGCCAGTATGGTACAGGGGTTCTTAGCCTTTGAAAGGGTGTTTTGGGTCTCTTTGAGAACCTAATGAACGCTCTCCCTCCTCTCCTCAGAAAACGGGCACCACTATAAATACCATTCTAGCAGGTTCAGTGAGGAACACTGGGTTACACACTCTCAGTTTGGTGGAAAGACCTGGGTTTGATTCCCGCCTCTGCCACCTTAACTAGATGTGAGATGTGGGCCACTCAGCTGATGTAAGGCCTGATTTTTCCCCTCTTAAATGGGAATAATAGCAATAGGGTCATTAGGCATTTTATACATGCCACCTGGTTAAATCCTAGTATAGCATCTAACAAGTAGCATGGAGTGCTAAGTAAATATTAATTTTTCAAGTTCATTTGTGATTAAAAATGTTGTGAAAGGAGGTACAAGTTTGGGCTGGCTTATTTTATTTATGCATAATTAATCTGCTCCCTACTTTCAGAGAACCTGAGGCCTTGTCTATACTGTTTATTACCACTTTTCTAGTATTAGCTGGGAAACAGTTTTTATCTGCATCAGGTTGCATTATGGGAAGGCACTGTTAGCATAGTGTTAGTTATACGGAAACAAGGCACCGAGTAGAAAGCCTTATTAAAAGGCTTAAGGGAAACCCATAAAATGGAAGGAGGTTCATTTAGATTTAAAAATTGTTAGGTCTGGCTTGGGAGACTCATTGTCTTCCAATTTTTTTTTTTCAGTAAGTTACTGCATCAATTTTTAAAAAGCAGCAAAATTCAATTTCCTAGTGTGTTATTGCAGTGCTAATTTTTTGGGCACCCTTGTTGAAGCTGCTTGCATATACTATTAATGTCAACAGTGTTTGACCTATTTCATATTTTATCTTACCGTCAATATTTGTGTAAACTTACAAAGTCTCATAGACTTAAATCAGCCCTTTAAGCTTTTGGTGTCTTAAAAACAATACTTTACCATGGCAATGATTGTAGTTTTTATGTACTTAATAATCAAACACACGAGAGAGGTAGTGCATGGTTTTTTGTTTAAATAAAGTGCATCTCACTTAACCCCTGATAAGCCTGTGGATTTGGGGGTCTCTGCAAGTTGAGGGTAATGGACTGTGTTTTGGATAGTCATGATGATCTGGCTTGGAGGAGTGTCCCTCTAACATTTCTGAGATTTGCTCTTAGGTGCTCTGCCCTGTCCCTTCTCAAAGCACCTTCTGATAACTCTCATAAAGTACTCAGTGCCGTTTGCTGTGTGTCGATGAACTCATAAGGGCAGGAATTTTGTCTTTGTGTGTTTAGCACAGTTCTTCTAATATATTAGTAGGGGCTCAGTACATATATGTTGAATGAAAGAAGAAAAATATATCTTTGAAAACGGTTGCATATTTGACTGAAGGGTGACCATGTGTGTATTGTTTTGTCTGTTGTGAATTATGCTTAAACCTCTAGATCTCTTATCAAAAAAGCCTGAATCACAGTGAAAATATTATGAGCAGTTTTTCCAGGTAAATTTTGAAGAAAGTCAAATCAGTGAGGATCCACTCACAATGCCTCTGCAGGACTTGTGTATTTACTCTGCTTTTTACTGTGTGTGTTAGAACTTGAAACTTTCAGGGATTCTTAGAACGGCAGAAAAAAGGCTTATTCCAGGTAAATTTTGAAGAAAGTCAAATCAGTGAGGATCCACTCACAATGCCTCTGCAGGACTTGTGTATTTACTCTGCTTTTTACTGTGTGTGTTAGAACTTGAAACTTTCAGGGATTCTTAGAACGGCAGAAAAAAGGCTTATTAGCTAAAAGGATTTTCAACTCAATACAAAGCGTCTAATTTTTTTTTTTTTTTTTTTTTTTTTTGACACAAGGGAGGCATCAAGGTTTTATGTTGGGTAAAAAAGCAGAGTCTAGCTTCTCGCTGGAACATAACAAATGGCCGTGTACCGGGATGTGGCGGGCTGGTGAGGCATGACCGGCTGTAGAAAGAAAAGGCAAGAGAAGAGGATGATCGAGGCTGGAAACGTGGCCCTGGTTGGCCTGTGATGAGCCCCCATGCACAGACTCAGACGTGATAAAAAGAAGAATCAGAGTTGGACAATACAACAGCAACAGTGCCAATTAACAAGAGTGGCCCTTTACAAAAACACTCACGGCTTCTTCACAAAGCCTGGTGTCATGGAAATGCCATGGGAAGTCAGGGCAGTATTTTATTTATTAAGCATTTTCAAAACATCTGACTGTATCCCCGTAACAATCCTATAAGGCAGGTAGAGATGAGAATTATTCTCAGTTTTAGATGAAAAAATAGATATAGTATCGCAGTGTTATTTGATGAAGGTCCTAGCTCTGGTAAGTAGTCAAGAGAAGGATAAAATACAGAGGTTTCTGATGTCTAACCCACTGCTTTTCTCATTCACTCCCTTGGAGATTTATCCTCCTCAGGCTAACTCAGTTGCACCCACACTCAGTTACACACACACACATATCACACGTATGCATAGCCACACCTGCTCAAGCAGGAGGAAACCTGGAAATGTGGCCCAAACATCTCACTATGGCAACATTTATAATATTCTCGATTACTGCTAAGAAAATATTCTTAGCACTTCAGAAGGAAAGTGAAAACTAATCCGAAGTCAACAAAAGAAACCTTCATTTAATTGATTATTTTCTGCCCTCTACTTTTGGAGAAAAATATAAAATTCTCAGAAAACAAGTAGATAAGTGGGGATTTATAAAGGTTATGCTCCAGATTCCTCAGCTTGATTCCCAAACCTACATCTCTAGTCCTCAATCCTAGGAGGACAAAGTGAGCATCCCGTTTGCTGCCTTTCACCTACTAACACAAAAGAGAGACATAGTTTAGGCAAAATAGTATCAAGAATTACAACTTAACGGGGTTTGGCGTATGACAGATTAAAAGAACA